TGGAGGAGAGGCACCACGCAACCAGCACAAAGCAACAGAACCGATGTGGATGCAATTGTGGAGTATTGACAGCATGTCGCTCCTACCATGAAAGGACTTATGCTGATTTGATTTTGAATTTAATTTGATGCATTATGGTCCAGCAAAAATAGCAGAGAACATGGGACCGGTTCAATTTCAGTTGTCTTCTATTGACAAAGCAGAGATCAAAGGTTTCCTTGTTACCTGTTGGTAGCCCTACAAACTCAGTACTTGCTTACTTTAAAATAATACCTGTCACCAAACGTTTTCACTAGGACAGGTTGAGGCACACATCAAGAGTGCCTTGGTACTTGTTCCAGGGGGGAATGGTAGGCTATTGCAAATGCATGTGATTACACACACATACTTGCATAGGTAATCTCATGGGATGCCTCATACAACCAGCAGGCATAAGAGTTTGCAGGATCCATTTCTTAGTCTTTTGGAGCTTTGGGCACTTTAAAATGACCATATTAACATTACATTATTAGATTCAAGCTACCATCTCTCCTTCAAAAATTACACATGATGGTAATGTATAAATATTAAAGGACCATGGATGAAACCTACTGCAAAACGAAGTCAATGAAAGTTTTGTCACTGAGTTCAGTAGAGCCAGGATTTCATGACAAGCCAGTATATCTTCTCTCCTCAATACCCCATGGGCCAAATTCTCTGCTAGTGCACAAAGACGCAGTACCACTGATTTCAATGAAATTTCAGACATTTACACTAGCAGAGAACTTGCCCTTGTATATTCATTGCATTGGCGCAAACAAAATTATTTTGTCTTCTCTAGATTTGTATACACAGGGCCAAATGATCCCTATATTGAAGGTAGTGGAACCACTCAGATGAGTAAGTCCAGCAGGATATGGCCTAGGACATATGAATGAGCAGTAAATAAATTACAAGATCATAAACAAAGATATACACACCAAACACATTTATTTAAAGTGAGCGCATTCCATTGTAATTTGTTATGGGGTTCTCACGCTTCATTGCTCTGCAATGCACATGGCTGCAGGAGGGGGTGATGCCTGAGCCCCTCCCTCCAACTCATACTATCCAGAGGACCCCTAGTAGAAGGGTCAAAGCCACAGGCGAGGGACCTGTAACCTGAGCCCTGTGTCCCCGGACTTCAGCCTCAGGCCCCAACCAATCTAAGCTAGCCTTGCAGTCCCATTAAAATTGGATCCAACCCACTTTGGGGTCCCAACCCACAGTTTGAGAACCACAGAATTAGTTTCGTTCCAAATACTTACCTAAACTTCATGACAGGTAAACTGGAAATGATAAAATATGTCTTGTGCAAGCATGGTTTAATTTGCATAACCCTATAAGTTTTTCATCATTGTTTACATCTGGGACAAAACTAACAAACAATAGAGACCTTGCTAACATGGAATAGTGAGTACAAAGAGAAAATTATTGGTCCAGTATTCATGAACTTCTAAAGGTTGTTGTCATTCTCATTATGGCAGCAGATCTCAAACTTCATTGTACCAGGGCCTCCATCTGACAACAAAAGTTATTACATGACCCCAGGAAGGTAGGGAGAGTTGCAGGGGGCACCAAAGCTGCCCAAAGTCTGTGTCCTGGGAGGGGAGCATGTAACCTTAGCCCCTCTGTCCAGGGCAGAAGTTCAGGGCAAAACCCAGGCTTTGGCTTTGGCTCTGATCCCCAACAAGTCTCACACCAGTCTTGGTGACTTCATTACAATTTATTCACATGACCTGCTGTTGGTTCACAGCCCAGAGTTTGAGAACCCCTCTGATATGCTATTCCATTCTTCTATATCACCTATGAGAATGCTTATCTTTAGTCTTCTATGAACCCTTTCAAGAAGATAAATAGTATGTAAAATCTGGAAGTGACAAATAATTCTAAACAACAGATACGGGAACTCCTCTGATGTAAAGATGTGCAGCTGGAAGATAACATTTGTTTCCTCTCTGCAGGCTGTAAACTGGGAGAGGGAGTGTGGACAGTTGTTTGATGCTTATAATTGGTTTATGGAATCATTTGCACTTCAGAGTTAAAATATTTATTTTGCTGCCAAAATACATCTGAATTTCTTTAAGTTGAATGCCAATTCATAATCAGATGTTTACACTATATGTGTATACAGTATTTGTGTGTATATACATTACACTATTAAATACACCCACACACACACCCGGTCAGATCTAGTTGTTTACTGTGAAGCCAAAGCCAACTAGTCACATGAACAAGGAAATTGAGTTTTGGCTTAGAAAGGGCTAAATTCTTCCCTTGTCTGTATGCATACAACTCTCACTGACAGCAGTTGGAGATCTGTTTATATACTTGTGTGTGACATTTTATAATGGACTTGATCCCCAAACCTTTAGGCTATGTCTAGACTGCCCCCTCTTGCACAAAAAATACGCAAATGAAGCAAAGCATGGAATATCCTATGCTTCATTTGCATAATTAATGAGGCTCCATTTTTGCACAAGAGGCTTTTGTACAAGAGCCGTTCTTCCTCTTTAGAACAGCTCTTGCGCAAGAGGGGGGTTTTGTGCAAAAACCCTCATTAATGATGCAAATGAAGCACAGGGAGCCTCACCTCATTTGCATATTTTTTGCACAAGAGGGGGCAGTCTAGATATAGCCCCCATGATTATATCTCACTGATACCAATGGGAATAGGATTTCATCTGAATAATTATGTTCAAATCAATTGACTTATTCTAGTGAATAAGGTGAGCAAAGTTTGGACTGATCCCTGTGCAGACAGGGCTCCTGATGGAGGGGGGCAAAAGGGGTAGCTGTTCCTGGGGCCTGGTGATTTTAAAGGGCCTGGACCTCTGTCTGCTGCTACAGTGGCGGCAGCTGGAGCCCCAGACCCAAACTGCTGCCATGCAGCACTGGAAATTTGACGGGGGAAGCTAGCCCCAGAGCCAGCTCCCCTCAGCTTGCCCTAGGGACCTGGCCTGCAGCCCTGTGGGCGAGGGGGAAGACAGAGAGTAGAGAGAGAGATTAAATTGCAAAACTGGCGGATTTTAAAGGACATCCAAGAAGGGATACAAATAACATCCTTAGCTTTTCTATAGCACTGTTCATAAGTAGATCTTAAAACACTTCAGTTCTTTACAAAGAAGGTCAGTATCATTAGCCTTCCTTTACACATAGGAAACTGAAATTTAAGGTGAAACAGATTGCCCAACATGACAGTAATACAGAGGACTGGTACTCAGGTCTTTACAGGCACAGGCTAGTGTGTTAGTCACTAGGCCATAAATTTGGTAGCCAACAAATGCTGTGTTCCTTACATTTCTAGGAAATAGATTATTCGGAATAATATAATTATGAAAGTTAAAGTATCCTACAACTTGGATGCATTTTTAGTAGGGCAAAACTGGAAACAATTCTGCATCATAAAGAGAGTTTAATTTTAAGATGTGTTCCTAGATCAGGACCATTTTGTACTGTAACGTT